TGTGTGTATACACATATACATACACACACATAATAAAAGCTTACCAAATCAGATGACAGAATTTGCTTCCTGCTCTGTAATTTGTCAACTTTTGGCCTAAGCAATCATATTCTAATAATAAAACTACATTAGAACAATAAAACTAAGACAGGTGAAGGAGCTTGTTAAAATCATAGTTTAATACAAGTTCATTTCACTAAATGATTTGGAATCAGGTGATATAATCCTTAAATAAATATAGGGAAGTATTTCAATTTTAGCATAATTGTATTATCATAAATATATTCTTATTCAGATTCATATTTCTTCAAGATTATCTTAAGTTTGTATGGCTGTTTCCTCAGGAATAATGCTTGTTGTTAGTTGACAGATTTGTTTTATTTGAAATTATGTTTTATAATGTTAATGTTTTGTGTTTTCTTCCCCTATAACAAAAACATTTAAAAAATTATAATGTAAGACTCTCAGTAATGCTAAAATATCAGTGAATGGATAGCTTAGTCTTTCCATCACAGTGAACAGCCAGAATCATGTGAGAGTCCTGGCATCTGCCTGGTAAAAGCTTGCCAGCCATTTAAAAGCACAGTCATTTAGACAAACAGTCATTTAGCCTGTTACCTGAGGCAAAGCTTGTAGCTCTTTGGTGACATATGTAAGAACTCACTAACAGAGGTAACACCTGCACAATTGGCTCCCTATTTGAAATGTGCTCCCCCCACCATTACCTACTGTTTGGTCTGAAGCCTTGGATGCTAAACCTCTTTGACTTTTTTTCTTAAATCAACACAATTCTCAGATTCTGTGCCAGACTGTTTCCTCTTAGGTTTCTGGCATTTAGAATAGGCACTTCTGGGAATTCCTCATTTTACACATATAAATTCAAATCAATTTTATTTATAGAATTGAAAACTCAAGGTCTTCAGAGCAAGGCAAATAACAACAATGAATGTAAATGCCAGGGATAAATAAAACAGCATGGCAAAATGGATAATAAATGATGTTTGGCCTTAGTATCCGTGAAGAATAGGGCGTGGTGCAGTCTTGGTCACCCTGGAGAGGGCATTCAAACCTAAAGAATCCATCGTCCACCAGCCGATTAACAATCTTTGGCTAGAAAAACCCTGTGTTATCTTCTTTGTCAATTATCTTATCCACAGGTTTTAACTACTGTCCACTAATGCCTTCTTTTTAAACACTATAAGAAATGAATATACGATCATGGGCCTCCCATTTACAAATGCAATTTAAGATTTAATAAATTATGTTTACCGTCTGAGTCCATATTTTGATGTGCCCAAAGTTAAACGAATAAAGTTTCTTCCAGATGACTCAGTCATTGTTCCATGAGATTTAGCTGTCCTCTTGAAATCACATTTATAAAGTTCATAATGTGTTGTTTCCCACATTGCCTGTTTTGTGCTTGTACTCACTTGGAAGTTCCTATTCCCTGCATCTGGCATTATAGCATAGCCACCACCTGCACTGCCAGCACCCCATGTGAGCACCAGTTTGTGTCCTGGTTGTTCCACTTCCAAACCAGCTCCCTGTTAATGGCCAGGGAAAAATAGCAGAGGATGACCCAAGGTTTAGGCCCCTTTCACCTTGTGGGAGACCTGGATGAAGCACCTGGCTTTGGCCTAGCCCAGCCCTGGAGATTGTGATCATTTGGGGAGTGAATCAATGTATGAAGATCTCTCACTATCTTCCTTCTCTCTCTGCAACACTTTTTTTTAAAAAATATTTATTTATTTATTTGAAAGTCAAAGTTACAGAGAGGCAGAGGCACAGAGAAAGAGGTCTTCCATCTGCAATTTCACTTCCCAGATAGCCACAGCAGCCAGAGCTGTGCCAATTTGAAGCCAGGAGCCAGGAGCTTCCTCTGGGTCTCCCATGTGGGTGCAGAGGCCCAAGGACTTGGCCATCTTCTACTGCTTTCCCAGATCATAGCAGAGAGCTAGATCAGAAGTGGGGCAGACAGGACTAGAACCAGAGCCCATAAGGGATGCTGGCACTGCAGGCGGTGGCTTTTCCTGCTACACCACAGCACCAACCCCTGTAACTCTTTCAAAATAAATAAATATCTGTAGAAATCCACCATTCTCTCATTGCCCAAGTCCACAGTTGACATACTTTCATGAGTGATTTGCGGGCTGACTCTACTATGGGGTCAGGCAGAACACAATCACGACTGATCACTGTCTTCTAAATTAGACTTGGAATAGAAGCTACTGCTTGCAAATGATTCTCAATAACTTTATGTCCTCTTGATTCCAAATACTGCTTGCATAAAGGTTATCATATACTCCTTTTCAGCTATCTAGGTTATCTTGACATGCTTCAATTATTCTGTAATTGCTATTGTTTTTCAACAATTGTACACTTGGAATGCATTCACTCTTAGGACAAATCAGATAACCTGAAGATGCACTGTCACTTCTGCAGTAAAAATAATACTGACAAGAGTCATTTGGTATTTTAAAGAATCCATATTTCAGGAGCAAATTATACTATCAACTGTGATTTATGTGAAATTCTTGCTATTTGTAAAGCAAGTGGGACTCCAAGTTTCTACTTATGAAAAATTTAACCAAACGCCTCTTATAACTGTGACCAACTCCAAGACTGATAAAAGTAATTCTTAGTGCACTGTTTATATTGCATTTTTACTTAATCCTAAAATAGCAGTCCATTTTCACACAATAGAAATAACAGAATAACTGAAGCTTGTCAAGACAATCTAGGAGGTTGATTAAACCCAGAAATGGTTCCATGTGAAATTGACTGTGAACTGGAATTTATGAACCCATTATACTTTTCAGATATGACTTATATAGATTACTCCCTCAAGAAAAATGTAGTGAAAATAGAGACATGTCACCAAAAACTGTGTGTGTCATCATTACCACAAAGTAAAAGGTTAAATATAAGATATTTGCATCCTTCATGCTTTGTCTTAGCAAAACGCATGCCTATTTTTTCCAGAAAGAATGTAAAATTGGTTACTCAAAATTATTCCAAAGCAGCATGTAAAACAGCCCCTTGCAAGTCCTAAGTAATTATTTTTAATGTACTTTTCTTTTTGCAAATGAAATGCTCTTTTATCCTGAAATAAGTAGTGCTGAAAACAAATTGCTTGATCTTTTTAAAGACAGAAAACAACTTAAGAGCATATTTTTAAAATCTTTGTTAAGAATTTATTATTTAAAAAAAAAACGCTCTTAAATTTTCCACAAAAAAATTTCACTAGATTCCAGAGTAAAGGAGGGGGAAAACAGTTTCTTCTATAGATATGACTTTGCTACTTTACATAAAAAATTTTTGATTGCTCAAATATAATATTCATCTGGACAAGACACACATATATCTTAAAACTGCCATTAATTGCCCCATTTCCTAAATATTGGTTCAATCTATGTAGTCGTCACTTCATAGCACCTTATTCAGTATGATACACTTAATAGTGGTTCTGTGATACCACACAGAACAATGAGAAGGTCACTGACTTTTAAGCCATTAAAGTAACAGAGGATAAGTCAAACCATTCATTAAGTGACCAAGAAGCATAAAGTCTGCTTTTGCAGTAGGTAATTAACCCAGCCTCTCTACAGGTGGCTTATATTCTGCCATTGCACCCTGGTGCCAGGTTCCCTTTCAGCTTTGTAGTATGATATGTTAACTTCACAATCACTTACTCTTCTACTAGTCAATCTTACTTTCAAATATGCCTTTAAAATACTTAAAATCCCTGGATATAAATAAAAAAAACCCCAAACTTTATGGTCTATCAATCTTAATTCACAATTACAAAGCCCCAAACTTTCCAGGAAATCTTTTCCCTCTATGTTACTTTCTTTCCATATTTTCTTTAAGGTCCTCAATTATGTAATTTCCATTAAGTATCCAAAATGTCTTAGAAGTATTTTTAAACTATGCAATGTTTTCAAAACAAAAAAAATGAAATAATTGGTACACTGACCCATTGCAAACACTCTGAGCTAACTATTCATATGGTAGAAATGACAAGACATGAGGCAGAAGAGATAGGCAGTGAATAAATCATCAGAAGCAATCTACACCATATGCTGGACCTTAGATTTTTTTTAAGTTATTCATTTTTATTTTATTTGAAAGGGAAAGCAACAGAGAAAGATACACAGAGAGAAAGACAGAAAGAAAAAAAACTTTCCATAATCTGGTTCACTCTCCAAATGCTCACAACAGCCAGAGCTGGGCTAGGCCTAAGGCAGAAGATAGTGACTCCACTTAGTTCTTCCACATGCGTGGCAGTGACTTAGTACCTGAGATATCAGCTGCTACAGCTCTGGTCATGCTTTAGCAGAAAGCCTGATCAGAAGCAGAGACACAGGTGGGACTTTGTTTCAGGCACTCCAATACGGGATGAGGTTGTCTTATATTCTGAAATCAGTATTCCATATTAGGTAAACAATTCTGAAATTCATATCAAGCATACATTTGTGGAGGGAGAGTCAGGGACTGTTGGGATTCATTTGTAGTAGATACAGAGAGAATGATTACCAACTTGGGGATTAGGAAAATGAATCCAGTTAGAGTGAGTGATGAGGGATTCGTAATCAAAATTACATTAGCAGGTTTCAGAGAATTCATAATGTTTCTGAAATATACACACAACTCTCTGACTTGTGTGATATACATAGTTCTGCCCATTCATCACCCTTCTTGTACAATAAGACTGTAATTACCAATAGATTCTCAAAGAGAGATACAAAAAACATCAATCAAGAGTCACTGGTATAAATTACTGCATGGAGTGAATTAAGAATGTAACACTGAGAAACACTGATATTTAAGGCACAGATCCAGAAAAAAAGAGGCAAAGAGAAAAAATAAATTTAAGGAGAAATTGGTGAACGTGCTGCTTTAGACTTTATATGCCTTTAAAGGGGAGAATGAGCTAAACTGTACATATTCCAGCATGGAACCATACATGTGAAGACATTCTATCGACGCTTACAGTTAGAGAGCCCCCAAGGACCTTAGAGAGCAGATTTGAAAGAACTGTGATTCACAATCAGTGATGATTCCATCCCATCAGGGGGCATTTGGAAGAATTTGGGGACTTTTCTGATTGTCACAACTAGAGAGAATTAATTCACAGGATTAAGGGACGCTAAACGTTTCCAGAAGTGTGGATCCATCTTGAACAATGAATAAACACATGAAAGCCAGAATGGCGTGGACATGGCAACTAATGGCAGTACAGGAGTGAACACAGAACAGAATGCATCATGTAAATTTGGAAAATGAAGAAAAGATGGTACTAATTATTTTATGATGGGGGAGGGGGAGGAGAGAGAGAGAGAGAAAGAGAGAGATCAAAATTGATTGCTCTCCTGTTTGGTTGACTCTCAAATCCCTCCAGCCACAACCAGGGCCAGAAGCTGGGAGAAAGGAACTCAATGCATGCCTGTAATGTGAATGGCAGGAATCAGTCACCTGAGCTATCAGCACTATCTTCAGGTTATGTGTTAGCAGGAAGCTGGAGTGAAGGGCCAGCAAGGCATATAACTCAGCTTTCCAGAGCCTGAATGGCCAGGTCAAATCCCCACCCTGAGAAATACTACTAGACAGCAGCTAGATGTACACATTCTTTGCAGAATGTGTAAAAATCTAGAAATATAAATTGATTATGATGAATATTCTTGTAGGAGAAAGTGATATTGATATATAATATTAATAGAATAATGTTTTAGAAGTAATTGGTGGGCAATATGAGAATTCAGGGGAAAAACAGATGATGTGACCCTAGGTAGGAGAGAAAGACCTTCATCCTATGTGACAGAGGAAGGAAAGGTCTTTAGAATTTAGGGGGAAGTATGGATGATGAGTCAGATCTTACATGATAGCCTGAATTTTCTCAACAAAGTAGAACTGAATATCAGTAAAGCAGATTTCTAATTTTTCTTCTATGTACAATTGTGAATCATGTTTTCTCAAAATATCCTTTTCCTGTGCATGATGTACACAATGTTACATTTTTAGTTTTTTAAAGAATTGTATTATTGGCTCCATAAGAAGTATATTTTACAGTCTTGATATGTACATGAACTCCATCTACACTTTTTAAAAAATATTTATTTATTTATTTTAAAGGCAGAGTTACAGAGAGTGGAGAGACAGAGCTATTTTTCATCTGCTCGTTCACTCCCCAAATGGCTGCAATGATTGAGGCTGGGCCAGGAAAGGCCAGGAGCCAAGAGCTTCATCTGGGTCTACCACATGGGTGCAAGGGCCCAAGTCCTTGGGCCATCTTCTGCTGCTTTCCCAGGGCATTAGCAGGGAGCTACATCAGAAGTGGAACAGCTAGGACTTGAACTGATGCCCATATGGGATGCCAATGTCTCAAGCAGCTGCTTAACCCACTATACCACAATACTGGCCCCTACAAATAAAAAAAAAATCACTTTTTCCCTCTGCTCTCTCCTGTGCATTATTCATGTATAGCGTATATGGATTCACTTGGGTACTTTACATGGACATGTGTGCTAGTATCATTCTACCTTCAGATCTTAACATAGAAGGAAAGTTGATCTGCAAAGTACTTAAATTTATTGTCTCTAAGAATATTTTCTTGTGTGGTTTTCTTGTACTTAAACAACTCTTCCTAATGTGACACTATATAAAGGAAAAAAATCCTTGAGTAATTGCTTCTTGTGTTGTAATTTTATTGATTTAATTTAGTTTCAGTTGAAAAACAGAGACACAAAGAAAGAGACAGAGAGATATATAGGAAGAGTTGTGGCATCTGCTGGTTCACATCCAAAAGCCTCCAATACCCACTTCTGGGCCAGACAAAAAGTCAGAAGCCTGGAAATCCACCTACGGCTCCTAGATGGGTGGCAAGTACCCAAGTACTTGAACCATCACCTGCTGTCTCCCAGGATGCACATTAGTTGGGAACTAGAGTGGAAGCAGAGTAGCCAGGACTTGAAACAGGCACTCAAATATGGGTTGTGGGTATCCCAAGTGGCTACTTTACTGCAGGGCCAAATTCCCAGTCCTTGAGTAATTTTCAATAGTCCATACATCTTAATTTACTAAAAGTATAGGAAAAATAAAATATGACAACCATTAGTCCTAGGGCTGTTTACACATACACTTACTGTCTCTCCAACAGAATATCAGCACCTTTCTCCTGATTACATGGAATTTGTGGAACTATAGAAAGAAGAATACAGCAGAGGGCAAACAAGCTAGATTGATCTAACAAGATATTATAAAGTGGCAAAAGGTAAATTGTAGCTGAGTTTATCAAAGACCCAGCTCTAGACAAAGAAGATCCAAAACTAGAATGAGATGAGAATGTCTACCTTATTCCCACTTAACTTCCTGTGTTAGGTCACCATTTTGTTTTCATGAGTATAAATGTATCTTGTAAGGTTATTGTATCACAGAAGTTGGCACTTGTGATGCCTGCATTCCATATGAGAGTGCTGATTCGAGTCCTGGCTACTTTGCTTTCAATTCAGTTTCCTGGGAATGGATCCTGGGAGACAGGGAAGGATGGCTCAAGTGCTTGCACCCTGCCAACCTCATGAAAGATCCAAAGGAATTCCAATGTCTTGACTTCAGACTGGCCTTGTTCTGGCTGATGTTGGCATCTGGGGAGTGAACCAGTATAAGGAATGTTACACTCTCTCTCTCTCTCTCTCTCTGCCTCTCCTTTTCTCTATGTGTAACTCTTTCAAGTAAAATAAATAAATCTTAAAAAAGAGAAAATTATCTTACAGCCTGCAATAATGCTGATTAATATTCTGCAAAGGTATAACTGGGCAACCTTATACCTCTTTGAGTAAATTTACATGGATTTTAATGGAAAATTTGGGGCATTCATAAACAGGATTAGTTCTTCAAAGCAAGTAACCATGCTTTGTTCTACAAGTAAATACAGGTTTGTTTTCCATCTAAAACTGTAACTAATTTAGTTATTCTTAAGTAAACTTAAGTAAGTATCAATAGCAGCATTTTTAACTCTAAAACTACACAATAGGATAATCAGAAGAGATACCTGAAGAAATTTCACAATAAAGAAGAAACAGAGTCATTCTAAGTCAGGATTAGTCATGTCCATGAATTGGGAAGGGGTAGATGAATGCTGAACCTTTTATCAACCACATGTTTACTTTGAAAGAAAATTATTTTGAAGTAATATAACTAAATATGTACATACTATGAGTAAGCAAGTGGTAAAATATGTTGACAACCATATTTAATTAGACAATTATATATATAATGACATATACACAGATAAAACGTGTGTATGAATGTGTGGCTTATAATAATCTTATATGACTGCATTTTAAATGATTGAATTTATTTATGCATCAATAATTAGTGAACAAGGCCTTGTTCTGCCTTAAATTATGAATTCATATTAATAGTGCTTATGACATAAGCAATGGGAAGAATCACATGGTCTTACATGTATCCCTTTCGAAATCTACTTTTTAAGACAACAAAAATTACATATCTTAATGCAGTTACTCAACACAACAGCCACTCATTGTAGCTTAAAAAAACAACCATGGGTAACAATGCTAATCTCAGTGTCTCATGCAAGCCAGCAATAATGTGGTGAATGTATCTCTGTAGCAAAACAATAAGCATGTCTTTTAAAACTGACAACTACAAACATGCACACTGTCTTAACCAGTTACCATCTACTTAATTTTACCTTTGTTGCATGATTTAGAGAACCATGCTAATTACCTGTACTTACATATATTTTCCTACTTTAGATATTAGCAAAATACAAGTATATATTTTTAAAATGGACTCCTTTGAAATTGCACACAGGAGTGGGCCTTTTGGCCCAGTAGGCTAAACCACTGCCTGGGATGCCCACATCTCTAATCAGAGTGCCTCAGATTGAGCCCCACCTCCACTTCTGATCCAGCTTCCTGCCCTTGGGGGCAGTAGATGATGCACAAGTTCTTTGGTCTCTGCCACCCAAATGAGAGATCTGGATTGAATTCCTAGTTCTTGGCTAAGGCATAGCTCAGTTCTAGCTGTGGAGGCATTTCGGGGGTAAACCAGCAGTTGGGATTTCTCTCTCTCTCTTCTCTGTCTTCCCCTTTCAAATAAATAAAAGCAAATAAACTTACAAAACTAAAATTACACTCAACATCACAAATAATTAGGGAAAGGCAAATAAAAGGCACAATGAGATATTACCTTACTCCTGTTATATTGACTATTATCAAAAAGACAATAGATAAACAAGTGTTGGTGAGGATATGGAACAAAATTAACCCTTGACACTATTGTTGGGAATGTAAATTAGTACAGTAGTTGTGGAAAAACCCATATGAAGGTTCCTCAAAAAACTAAAAGTAGAACTACCATATAATCCTAACACCTGACTCCAGGGTATATATTCAAGGGGAAATGAACTCTGTTAAAGAGACATCCACTCTTCAATGTTTACTGCAGTACTATTCACAATAGCCAAGAAATGGACAAAGCTTAAGTGTCAATCCACTGATAAATAAATAAAGTGTGATACATATGAACAATTGAATACTAACCCATAAACAATTAAATTCTGTCTTTCACAACATGGATGAAACTGGAGGTCATTTCAATAAGTGAAATAACCAAACACAGAAAGTCAAATACTATATGATCTATTCTATATGTGATTCTAAAATATAGATGGCCTCATAGAAGATGCAAAATATAATGGTGGTTATAGAAATTGGGGAGGAAATGGAGAAAGGTTGATTGATGGATGATAGGTTCTAGCTAAATAGGATTAAGAACTTCTGGGGCTCTATTGCTCAGTAGGGTGGCTATCAGTATTACTAATTTACTATATGTCTCCACAGAAAAGCCAAAGGATGGGATTTTGGATGTTTTCTCTAAAAAGAAATGTTAGACACTGAAAGACCCTGACTGGATGTTATACATTGTTACATGTAACCAAGCATCACATGGCATACCATATATTTGTAAAATTTTTATGTTTATTGTAATTTTTAAGAATTCATTTCAGGAATGATAGCCAGTCAGCAAGTTAGGAGCTTGTAAACTCTAGTAATTCTGTATAAAAATTCATGGGCAGATACTTGTACCCAGTTTTTGAAACTCCTCCCAAGTGTCATGTTTCTCTTATATAACACATATTGGCACTATAATTTTGTGAGAAATTTACTTTAATGTCTAGATATGTAATTTCCATGGCCTCATGGTTCAGGATTAATGTGAAATAGCTACATGTTTATTATAAATTTACTCAAATATGAGTATGTAGATTTTAATTTAATCCTACCAATCAATCATTTACCCTAATTTTTTGAATGATAGGCACTATCTAATTAATTTTAGAGGATATACAAAATACTTCTTTGCTCAAATAACATTTAATCTGTTATCTCAGGAAAAAGCAGTTTTTACATAATAAATGTAAGTATAAAGAATATCCCTGCAAGAAGGCACAGATATGTAGAAGCTCTGAGATTGTGCATGAGCAGTGGTGCCATTGATGAAGAGTAATAATGTTTGAGGGAGACAGCCAAATGCCCACAGAGTTAGGAAGGGAGATCATGTAATAGACTTTGTTGATTACAGATATTTTCTTAAGTGCATTAGGAAGCCACCAAATTGTTTTAAGTGGAATTCATGATTGTGTTAGTATTTTTAAAGGATCACCCAGACTGCTGGTAAAAACTGGATGAGAATGGGAGGCTCAGCTGCAGAATCAGCTGTTGCATCAGTACCACTAAGAACATGGTATCAAGGCAGTCGTTTTGTGCAGTGGTTAAGGTGCAGCTTAAATTGGACGTTTTGAGATTCGATGACTGTTTACAGCCCATGTCTCTTTCTGTTGAGGAACAGTGTTCCTTTTTCTTCATACTGTTTGTTGAACTATTTTATTAGTGTAGGGTTAAATTTGCAATCATTAAGTAAACTGAAAGTAGATCTTTGTAAAAAGCAAGAATGGGAACAGGAGAGGGAGGTGGAGGAAGGGTTGGAGCATGGGTAGGTAGAAGGGCAGGATGGGAAGTGTCCCTATGTTCCTAAGTCTCTATATACATGAAACTTGCATAACTTAAGAAAAAAAAAGATGCAGCTTGGGGCACTCACATTTCACATCATGGTGTCTGCCTGGCTCTCTTCTCCATTCTGGCTTCCTGCTACTGTGCACCCTAGGAGGCACCAGGTGACAGCTCATGTAGCTGGGTATCTTCCACACATGTGCAAGACCCAAATTCATGAGTTCCAAGCTCCTGACTTTAGCATGGCCCTGTAGAAGCTGTTGCAAGCATATGGGTATGAATTTATAGATGGCAGTTCTCTCTCTCACAAGTAAATAACAAGAATATTTTAAAAAGAAGGTGGTATCTCAGAATAAGCGGAGAGTAATGGACAAATTCAACTATATCAAGGAAGTAGAATCATTGTGAGTGTTAGGAGATAAGAAATTGTCAAGAACAAACTCCAAATATTTAGAATAAGCAATCCAGGTATTGAAGAGCAATAATTGTGAACAGGAGTAAATAAGAAATTTGTGTAGTACCTGTTTACCAGCTATACAAACTTTTTTTTTTTTTTTTTGAAAGAGTTACAGAGAGCTTGAGACAGAGAGAGAGACTGGTCCTCCATCTGTGGAGGAAGCTGAATCCGGAGAGGCCTAGAGGAAACTTCCTGAGCCTGCCTCGAATTTGAAAACCTGTCTTTAAGTTTCAAATCCCTGGTAGCAAACACCCCAGCCCCAGGGTGCTTCTGCCTAAGGATCATTAAGGTGGTATAATAAGAGTGGCTAAGACCCTTTTGCATCACAACACCGCACCCCTTGCCCGCATCAGCTCATCTGCTCTGTACCATCCACTCTGTACCTCAGCTATATATACACCTCCCTTTTACAATAAAGTGAGACCCTGCTTCGACTGGGCTCCACACCGCGCCTGATTATCCCCTGGGTTTGGGGAAGGCTCCTTGGTCAAGCTGCAGGCAGCCTGCCTAATTTTCCAGTGGTGGCGAGGAACAGTCACCGCACTCCATCCGCTGGTTCACTCCCCAAATGGCCGCAATGTCCGGAGCTGAGCTGATCCTAAGCTGGAAGCCAAGAGCTTCCTCTAAGCCTCCCCTGTGGAGTGGGTGCAGGGTTCCAAGGACCTGGGCCATCCTCCACTGCCCTCCCAGGAATACCAGGGAACTTGTTTGGAAGTGGAGCAGCCATGACACGGTCTGGCACCCACATGGGATACTGGTGCTACAGGCCAGGGCCTT